TCACTCTCACCGCCCACCAATCCATTCTCCCCTTCAAAAACTGGGCTGTCTTTAAAACTATTGTAGTGCCCATATCACTACTTGCTTAAAACCTTTCAATGATATCTAATGTTTGGGGGGTAAGGACTATCCAATATCTTATTTTCAAGTTTTAATTCTGATAGTTGTTTTACTACCTGCTTTCCTTTGGAACACTCTAGAGACTTTGCCACCACTCAGTGCTGCTACACCTCAAATATTCCAATACTCCATATCTGGCCAGTTTTCTATGCCTATATATACACTACTACTACTACACCTTCCAGTCCCTCTCTCTCTCCCTTTCTCCCCATCTGGTCAATGTATCATGACTTTCCATTCTCCCTATTCACATAAACCCCTAGCACAGTCACTTCTACTACTCTTTTATTGGTGATCTCAACTCAGCTGGCCTCCTCTCCTTAATATTACCTTGGAAACCATCAGCCCTGAATATTTTGACAATCTGCTCTGCTACTCCTACATTCAGGATGGAAGAAAATAAAACAGACTGAACTGGTCAGAATTTAAAATTTGCATGATAAGTTATTTTCCCCCATCTTTAGAGGGTAGACTCACAAATAACTGGTCTCTAATCTCAAACACCCTTAATAGCATTCAATCATTTTTATATGTTTCATCACTGTCATAGGAAATTCTAAACATTGGGTTTGTACATTCTCAGCACTTTACCTTGGGTCTGAGTTGCAAAGATACAAATCTACCCAAAGCCTTAACTCTTTCCTATACAAGGCCTGTCTTCTCTACCTCTGCTCCAAAGCCCAACCCTGTCATTCTTGAGATTGAATCAAGTTTAAGTTATTTTGTAATCAAGATCTAGGTCAATTTCCCAGCAGTATCCCCTGCTTCTTCTCTAAGTGTACCCTGCCTGCAGTTCTGGGAATTTCCAGACATGAAGAGGGCCTGAGGTTCATTCAATGCGATGCTTTATGTCTAATAAGGCCACCTGCCAGAAGCATATTCCCAGGACAGAGTCACTTGAACAAAACTGAACTTATGTTCCCAAGAAGGCTATGATAACAAGGATTGAGAATTAGTCCATTTTTCCATTACTTTAGCCAAAGACCTGAGTCTAGGTAACTTATAAAAGAAAAGGAGTTTTATTTAACTCACAGTTTGGGGAGGCTGAAAGTCCAATCAGCATGGCACCTGCTCTGGTGAGGATCCCCTGGCTGCATTGCATCACAGTAAATGGCATCATGGTAGGAACATTAGCAAGAGGGAGAGATAACACAGTGAGATAACAAGCCAGAGCATAGAGGGGCCAGTCTTGCTCTTTCATAATCACCTTCTCATGAGGGCCCCACAAGAACTACACCAATTCCTTCTAAGGGCAACACCTGCAGTGGCCTTCTACTAAGCTCTGCCTCTACAAAGTTCTGCCATCTCTCAACATGGCCACACTAGGAACTGAGCTTCCAACACCTGAATGCTTGGAGTGGGAGGGGAGGCCCTTAAGCCCCTCAAGAAGGAGAACCTAGGCTATAAACAAAGGGATGAAGTTAAAATCATGAACCAAAGATTCCAATAAATGGGAAGTCCCAATTGAGAGAGCAAGAGCAGACAGGAAGTAGAAAGCAGCCCATATGGAGTAGAAAGATGTGGAACAATCTTTCTCTCAACTACCCTTTGATCCACCACAAGCATTTTAGCCATAAATATTAAGAAGTAACTTCAGCACTTTCATCAACTGAGATTTTGCAACCATATAATTTTTTTTAACTTTTTTTAGCCTGGGGATGTTAGAATTCACCTCAGTGGTAGAGCACATGCTTATTAGCATATGTAAGTTTTAGGGTTCAATCCCTAGAATTCCATCTAGTTAGATGGAAGCAATAAATTCAAAAGTGTAGAAATAAAATGGGCATTCAAAGCATATAAAATAAAATTTATTGCCATTATGTGTTTTAGCAAGTAAAATAAAAAATAACTACTTCAGAAGGAGATTGCATATTCCATTTCCTCATTACATTCATCCAAGAATCCCACATGGGATTGGTAAGCTCCTTTCAGAGTTAGGCCTTACAGAACCCTCTGGAGTTCATAATTATCAATGATTATTCCTTCCAAATGAAAAAAAGGGGGGGAATGTTGATCTTTTAAATAAATGAGCTAGAATTAAAACAAAACAAAATTTTTAAAAAAGATTACTTGATTACTGCACAGCTGGCTCTTTCATTCATTCCAATTCCATCAAACATCCTTTCTGGACCATGGTCTTTCTGGATCACTCCATCTAAGGCAGCCACTTAGCCACTCATCCTATTTTCGTGTTTTGGTGCTGTGCATAGCACTGTTGTACTAGCTGATGTCTTTTCTTTATGTATTTATTTACTGGTGTATTGTCCATCTCTTCCCCCTAGAATGTAAGCTCCACTCGAACACAGCTCTTCTTGTTTACTCTGTATCCCCAAAGGCAAGAATGGTGTTTCAAGTACAATAAATACTCAGCAAATACTGGGTGGATAAATCAAATATCAGGAACACTCTACTCGTTTTTAAAGATCTCCAGATGATTCTGGTTTCAGCTAGGCTGGAAACCACTGGGCTAATAGTCAAATCTCCTTTCTGTGTTATTTAATGAATTAAAAAAGGGAATTTGGGGGGTTGAGGATGTAGCTCAGTCAGTAGAATGCTTGCCTCGCATGCATAAAGTCTTTGGTTCAATCCCCAACACCGCAAAACAAAAAAAAAAGGGGGGGGGATTTTGGGTTCATTTCTCCTCTGCCCCCGTTCTATATTTCCTAATTCTATAATTATTAAAATTCATAAACAACAAATATTTTGTAAATAGTGTTTAATTTTCCCCCCAAAGCAGGCATTGGAGCTAGTATCACAATTAGCCTAAAATTGAATTCTTCCATAATTCTCCTTAGAAATACTATCAGTACTATTTTCTTCCCATAAGTTCTTAAGCCAGTGGTAATTAACTGTGATGAAATACACAGACTATGTTTGAGGAATTAATGACTCTGCTGATGTGGTTTTTCTGATGTGGTTATATTCAGTTCGCTTTTCATGTTCCAAATTAAGTCAGGTGGTTTCAAGTAAAGAACTCATAGAAATGGAAACTGATGTTGTTTATGTTGCTTTGTATAACCACAGCACACACATGTAAAAGTGCAGCAGCAGATGGCGTTGCTGAGGAGTCTTTAAGCATACAGTTTCTAAGATCTAGAATGTTCTCTCCCCTACATTCCTAAGCTATTCAGTTCAGATATCATCTTCTATAACAACTGTAAACATTAAGGGTAATTACTTTGAATTATGTATTTTGCTTTCGCCAATCTCAAACACTGTCTGGAATGCAATAACTACTCAATAAATTCTTCTCGAATTGCACTGCTCAGATATTCACCCTAACCCACTGGGCTTGCGGGGTCCTTTGCTATGACTTACACAATATTGACATAATTATCACTTATTTAATACTTATCATGTACCATGCACCATGCTAAGTCTTTACCTATAATATTTCATTTAATCCCCACAAGAATACTTGAAAGAAATGTGTTAATGCTGTTGAGGAAACTGAGATTCAGAGTTTGGATTTTATCTAGGGTTTTGCTTTCTATTCTATACTGTTCAATCAATATAATACCCACAAGAAGTGCATCAATATTTTTAGGGTACATTATTTCTGCCTCAACTTCTTTGTTAATAGATAATAGAAACTAGGACACGTTCTTAAATAGCTCTAAAAGAGATAACCCTAAGGGAGTTTGGTGAAAACCTATTGTGATTCACTTAACCTCTCTGTATCTCAATTTGCTGATCTTCAAAATTAGTAGGTTTGAACCAAATAATACCTCAAGTTGCTTCTGGATCTGTGTTTTAACCCAAAGGGCATGAAAACCTGGTAAGAAATCCCTTTTAAAATGCAGCTGCAAGTTTGAAAACTCATCCTTAACCTGCAAAGAAGATCAGTTCATAGGTTGAAGGTTACAGCCACAAATGAATTGAGAAGTAAAATTTAATCCTATTTCTAATAAGGGAACAGATGAGCAGTGAAAGCTTTAAAATTCTGAGTCTAACATCGTCTAGGTAATGGTTTTGATTCCCAAGCTCTTCTCCACTGAACCTGTGAAGTGGTTTTTATGTATTTCTCTGCTGGCAGTGAAGAGATGAAGAGAAAAGCAAGCAGAAAAGAAATCAGGACACTGAGGTCAACACAGAGATAGATCAAAAAAAAATTCAGAGTTGAATTAGAGAGAAGAAAATAGGAAATGTAGGACTGAGTCAGTAATTCATAAAGGTGTGATCTTTGTTGTAGTATTTCTTGTAATGAGTTTATCTCCTAGGATGTGATAACCAACTCCATTTTTTTCTTGATTTTTTTTGCACCCCTCTCAACAATTGTTCAAATGCAGATCACTCAGCCTGTCTGCCTTCATCCTTCCAAACTAGACAATATAAATCTTTGCCTGTTTTGATATAAATGGATTCCATTTTAATGTGAGACTCAATGTTTAAGTTTTTCTTTCTAACCACTTTTCTCCAGCAAGGTTAGGTAGCTCATCTCCGGATTCTATTTTTGTTCATGCCTGATATTTACCGCATATATATGTACCTAACATCACTTATCCATATGCTAATCAAAATCCTAAAATTGAGGCAGAGCAGGTTCCTGGTGGGATGACCTAATACAAGAAAATAATTTTAACCAATGTTTTAATACCTGAAGTCAGTTATTAGACTTTTAAAAATGGCCTTGCTTATGAAATTTTAAAAATTCTCCTTTGAAATGGAGAAGAAACAATTTGAAGAGAAGTAAACACTTCTCTGCTTCCACCTCTACAGCAGTATGTTCCACAGAAAAAGGAACCAGGAAGAGCGAAAAGACTCACTAAATATTTAAATAGTAAGTTTAAGGTTAGGAAGTTGCAACAGCAAAAGGAAAAGCAGATAACTTGAAGGCCAAGTGTCACCGATTTTTGTCTCTGTCCTTAGAAGATTGCTGATGTAGAGTCACTGTGGCTTGCTCAAGACTCTCTGGAACGAAGATACAGCTCTAAGGTAAGATTCCCTGGACTATCGCCTAGTCCTATCACCTGAATGGACCCTCCAGGATCAGTTTTCTCAGGTTCTGTGGCCCATTCCCACAAAAGCAGCTCAGTGTCCCCAAATGGAAGTGGTGTCTTCCTTAGAGCTGTTTGTGCCAGTAAGTGCCATTACATCAACCTTAAGATAACTCAAAATCTGAGAGCTCTACCTGAAGAGATGGATATTGGGATTTTTCAAAACTCTCTGAGGGTATCCAAAATTTAGTACAGGTACTCTAGTGAGGAAAGACGTATATCCTGGGGCTGGGGATATACTAAACGGTAGAGCGTGAAGCTCTGGGTTCAATCCTCAGCACTACATAAAAATTAATAAAATAAAGGGGTTGTGGCTCAATGGTAGAGTGCTTGCCTAGCATGTGTGAGACACTGGGTTCGATTCTCAGCATTACATACAAATAATTAAAATAAAGATCCATCAACAACTAAAAAAATTTAAAAAATAAATTCATAAAAATAAATTAAATAAGGGCATTGTGTCCAACTACAATTAAATTTTTTTTTGTTTAAAGTATATCCTGTAGTATTAAAAGAGCAAAATGAAGCTGTTACTGGCTTTAATATAATAAGCTGAGCAAAATAATAGATTAGAAAATTATTGAGCACTTACTGTGTGCCATGAAGGGAGCTCAGTAATTTTAAAACATTTTCTTATTTAGCCTTCATAAAAATTCATAGGGAATGCTGAGCGTAGTGGCTCATGCCCATAATCCCAGCAACTTGGAGGCTGAGGCAGGAGAATCACAAGGCCAGCCTCAGCCACTTAGGCCCTAAGCAGTTCAATAAGACCCTGACTCAAAATAAAAAATTGAAAGGATAGGGATTGTGGCTCAGTGGTAAAGAGCCCTTTGGATTCAATCCTTAGTATGATAAAACAAACAAACGAACGAACAAACAAACAAAACACCCCAGCTTAAAGAGTTACTTAAGAGTCTGTAGTCACAGAGCTAAAATGTAGTAGGGATAAGATCCAAACCCAGGACTATGGAACACCAGAGCCTGAAATCTGCCCCGTTAATTTATGTTTAAGTACTTTCAAACCTTCTTAAAAGATATTTAAGAATGAAGGGGGTTGGGGTTGTGGCTCAACAGTAGAGTGCTCACCTAACACATGTGAGGTGCTGGGTTCGATCCTCAGCACCACATAAAAGTAAACAAATAAAATAAAGATTTTTAAAAAATGAAGAATTCTCCTGGTTGTGTACAATAAATCAAAGTCCCTAGAAACTTTATGTAATATTCAGAATCATTTTGATGTTATTCAAGTTCTACAGTATTTTCAGATGCCTTTTAAGAGCTTAGCCACACAATTAAAAATTTTCCTAAAATTCAGCTTTCCACAATCACATATGAAGAGATCCCCCTACACACACCCAAAGCACAAACACATAAACACCATAACATACACCATTCCAAACATAGCCTGCAGATGTATATACACAGATCCCACAAATATACTACAGATACACATACACAGACCCCACATCAAACAGACATACACAGAAACCATAAACCTATCTGCATTCGCACAAACACACTAGGTATACAGAAAGAACAAA